CGTTAGACTCCCATCAGCTCCTTTGTTGCTGCTCTTTAAGGTCACGAATGTCAAAGCTCATGGTCACCCAGCTCAGCAGAGGGTGTCTAGTAAGTGAGCCCTGCTCAGTTCCTGTTTTGACTTAGGTTGAGCCTCTGCAGATTCCTCTCCTCCACCAGCTGCTCACTGCATTCCAACATGTCGACAACATTCAGAACATTATTTTTCAGATGGTGACTTGGCCGTGGTAACCAGCCTCCTGCAAAACCTGATGTCCCGTGATTGCTGCTGCTTTTGTTTCTCCTCTAATTCTGAGCCTTTTAAGGGCAGTGCCCTGTGCTGACACAGAACTCGAGTCTTGGGAGACTTTGACTGATATGGTTGGATCCAGGAATTTCATTTGCAGAACTGCTTCTCTCCTTCCTTCCCCTTCCTCCTTGGAGTCCTCCTTCTGGAGTGCGGTGCTCCACAGTGACAGAGGGGCCTGACTGTTCTCGGCTCCTGAGTGCAGAGCCCAAATCATGGTCCTTTCAGATGGCCAGGAGCGCCCTGGCTGATCTGCAAGGGCTACGAGTAGAAGGTGGGCCTTGCAGAGCTGGCGAGGTCTAGATTCAAACCCCAGCACTGCCGGCGCTCACTTGACTTCACTTCTCCGAGCGCGTTTCCTTTGCATGATATCCCAGTAACGCATACGAGGCACCAGGAATATAAAGTGCTCTGTGCACCGTATACTCGAAGTGCAGTTACACTACCTGCCAGCAGTGAGGCTGAGAGAGGAAAGGACATGAGGCTGGAGAGCTGTGGGTGGTCAAGGGTAGGAACCGGAAGTACCCGCTGCAAGGATGCTGAGAACCATAAGCCACTGCGGCTGCATCCAGCTGGTTGAACGCTGCTGAGGTTGCTCAGGCCTGCCGTCCCAGGCAGCCTGTCTGGCTCTCCAGTGGTAATTCCGGGGGAAGTCTCTGCAGAGAGAGGCTGCAGTTTGGGCCCTAAGAACCCTACCTCGGTCTTGGAGGCAAAATCAAGGTGTTTGCATGCACCGTGTCTGTTAGGCCTACAGGTGTGGGGCTGGCAGGCTCTGCCCTTGACTAGGGACAGAGCTGCCCAAGGACCCCGTGCCCCTGCGCCCCAGAACCCCTCCATGTCTTGGTGCCTCCTCAACTGGGGGCTTAGCGGCTGTCCTCTAGGTCAGAGAACAGGGTATGGCCAGGGCAGCTCAGAACCAGCCCTTCCAGGCTCAGATCAGCTCCTGATGGTGGGAAAGGTGTTTGTTCTGCATACACTGCGTGTAACTTGTTACTCTCAGAGAGCGTTGGAGTACCAAAAGCAGGAAGATAGGAACAGATTTCCCTTCATGGAATCTGAAGCCAGTCTCGTCACCAGAGACAGTGGGAACAGAACAGGCAGACTGACTGAAATACACTGCGGAGGGGAGCAGAGGGAGAGTCAGGAGAGGTCTGCTGTGCCACGTGGGTAGTTCCCTGGCTGTCCGGGGATCGAACTCATGCTGCAGAGGCTGCAGACTGCTTCATAGTGTGGTGCTTAACCGCTTGCACCACCAGGGAGGCCCAAGAACATTGAATAATTAAGGTCAATGTTGTGTGGAGGGTAAAAATGATGTCTATTTAAGAATGTGTAGTGACATGGAAACTGATTAGGATTAAATACTGTGGCCTATTTATGAGGCTGAGTTTTAAAGAAATGATGAAAGCATGTAAGTTATATTCAAATCCTGTTTTCAGAGATATCAATATTTACTTTTGTAGTTGCAGGCATGTTTAAGAAGGATGTAAGCATTGCTTCTTTGGAGAAGTGTCTTTTTAGGTCTTTTGCCCTTTTTTTTAATATTTATTTTATTGTGGGTCAGCTCCCTGGCCCGAGATTGAACTCATGCTGCAGTGGCTGTGAATAGCTTCATAGTGTTGAGACTTAACCCCTTGAACTGCCAGGAAGGCCCTTAAAGATTTATTTTTATTTATTTATGCAAACAAGAACGGGGGTATAGGCCAGAGGTGCAGGAGGGTAAGAGGATTCACCAGAGACAGTGGGGAGCAGAACAGGCAGATATACCGAAATACACTGCTGAGGGGAGCAGCGGGCGAGGCAGGAGAGGTCTGCTGTGCCATGTGGGTAGCTCCCTGGCCAGGGATTGAACTCATCCCGCAGTGACTGGCAATAGTTTGATAGCGCTGAGACTTTAACCCCTGTGATACCAGGGAGGCCCACTTCCGCCCATTTTTTTTTTTTTTAATAGAGGCATATTTTATTTATTTATTTGTTTGTTTGTTTTTTTTTTTTTTTTTTTTTAAAGATTTATTTTTATATTTATTTATACAAGCACTGGGTACAGTCAGAAGCACGGGAGGGTGAGAGAATTCACCAGAGCCAGAGCAGGGAACAGAACAGGCAGACTGACGAAACACACTGCTGAGGGGAGCAGCGGGCGGCAGGGAAGGTCTGCACGCCATGTGGGACCCTCGCCATCGGCCGGGGGTTGAACCAGCGCTGCAGAGGCTGCAGGCAGCTTCGCAACCCAGCGCTCAACCGCTGCGCCACCGGGGAGGCCCTGTTTGTTTGTTTTTTGTTTATACATGCACTGGGTACAGTCAGAAGTGCGGGAGGGTGAGAGCATTCACCAGAGCCAGAGCGGGGAGCAGAGCAGGCAGAAGGACCGAAGTACACTGCTGAGGGGAGCAGCGGGCGGCAGGAGAGGTCTGCACGCCATGTGGGACCCTCCTCCAGTGGCCGGGGAGCAGCCGGGGATGGAACCTGCGCCGCAGAGGCCGCGGGCAGCTTCGCAACCCAGCGCTCAACCGCTGCGCCACTGGGGAGGCCCATTCCGCCCATTTTTTGACTGCGTTGTTTCCTTTGCTTTTGTTGAGTTGCGTGAGCTCTTTATAGATCTGGATCTCAGTCCCTTATCAGTTGTAGGGTGTGCAGATATTCTCTTCCATGCAGGAGGGTATCTCTTCATTTTGGCTGCTGTCTCTTTTCTTGCACAGAAGCTTTTTAGTTTGATATAGTGAATAGAGAGAAACCCATCAAAGGGTCAGGAATGAGACAAAACTTGTTGCAAGCTGACCATAGATCTGAGGACACAGCTGGGGAATGGAGTGAGAGGGGCCAGCACAGAGGAGAGAAGAGCACAGGGGACTGTGGTGATGGGAGAATTATGGGGACTAAACCTTAGGAGAAATCAAGAACAGTGATGTAAGAAAATAAATTAACTAACTAAAATAAGAATGAGGTAGGCAGCACCAGTCTGCGGCAGCTCTCCCCAGCAGCTCTCTCCCACTGACTTGCTTTCTCCATTTCGTTTGATCCCAGTGTAAAGGTTTTGCTCATTTTTTTTTCACTAACAATATATTTATCTGTGGTTTCAGGCTTTGAAGTTCAAAGATGTTGTCATTTACTTCTCTCAAAAGGAGTGGCAGTGTTTGCGCTCTGCTCAGAAACGTTTGTACCAAGATGTCATGTTGGAGACTTATCATAACCTGCTCTCCCTGGGTAAGTGTACCTGCCCCCCACCCAAAAACAAAAATTCAGAATTGGGCCTCCCCAGTGGCACAGTGGGTTGAGCACAGCGCTGTGAAGCTGTCCGCAGCCTCTGCAGCACGAGTTCAATCCCCAGCCGGCCAGGAAGCAACCCACATGGTGTGGCAGACCTCTCCTGCCACTCCTGCTGCTCCCCTCAGCAGTGTATTTCAGTTGATCTGCCTGTTCTGTTCCCACTCTGTCTCTGGTGAATTCACTCACCCTCCCATGCCTCTGGCCTGTACCCCAGCTCTTGAATAAATAAATCTTTTAAAAAAAAATTTCAGAATTGACCTTCTGGAATTTTTATGTTCTTTTTTCATGAATTTCTTGTGAGTGCTTTTCAAGGGCCGGGCTGAGTTAACGATTCCTGCTTACTGAAGAGAAGTCAGAAATCTGTGCTCTATGGGACAACTTTGTCTTTTTCCGTCCTGTGACCCTCACTTGTTCCTCTCACCCTAATCTGCCTACTCTTGTATCTTGGTCATGGATTGATGTTCATTCTGGGACACCTACCATATAACTTTCTCCCCCTTTTCTTCCCTGAGCAGGATTCTCTGATTCTAAGCCAGATGTGATTTCCTTATTGGAACAGGGGAAGGAGCCCTGGATGGTGAAGAGGAAGGAGACAGCAGAATGGTGCCCAGGTGAGAGGGGGTGACTCCTGGGAGGCCATGGCAGGTGGGGATCCAGAGGTATGGGGGGCTGAGGGTTGAGAGGATTCACCAGAGAGAGTGGGGAGCAGAAATACACTGCTGAGGGGAACAGCGGGCGAGACAGGAGAGGTCTGCCACGCCATGTGGGTAGCTCCCTGGCCAGGGATCGAACCCATGCTGCAGTGGCTGCGGACAGCCTCATAGGTTTCGTCTTAACCCCTTGCGCCACCAGGGACTTCTCCTGGGCTTATGTTTTTAACAGCTTCCCCAGCTGATTCTGATTCTCACTGAAGGTGAACAGCCACCCTTTTCTTCAGTTTCTCGCCTTTTCTCTCTCCTCTGTCTCCATCGCCCCCACGCCTTTGGCTTTTTTTCAAATTAGAGCACACAACTGTGAAAATTACTGTTTTTAGTTTGTCGTGTCTACCTTAGAACTTCCCTTTCTGCTCTCATGTGCCGATACCTCCAGTTGTCTTTCCTGTTATCTTACAGATTGGGAGTTCAGAAGAGAAACCCAGAATGTATCTATAAAAGAGGAAAGCGTTGAAATTAAATCACCCCAGGAGGAGGTAACAGATACACTTACAAGCTCTCGCCTTGAGAACCCCGGAGTGCGAGGTAGCAAAGAAGTCAGATGCTGCTTGGGACGACAGGAGGCACATTGCACACGGGGCAGGGCAGCCTCTCGAGAAAGGCCCACTTCCACGGTCCCCAGGGCCCCTCAGACGGCTCATATTGGAGCAAAGTCTTGTGAAAGCCAGGACCGTAAGGAAGCTTCCAGGAGCCAGCCACACCCTATTCCACATGGAAGAGGCCTTCGTCAGGAAAAAGACTCCAAATGTGGAGAATGTGGGAAAGCCTTTCCTAGTGGATCAGACTTGATGAAACATCAGAGAATTCACGAGAACAAAAAAAGTAACGGCAAGAAGCATGCCTTAGTTTGTGACACTGAACTTCGGAAACGTCAGAGCGTGAACACTAGTGAGAAACCTCATAAGTGTAAGGAATGTGGGAAAGGCTTCCAGTCTAGCTCCCAACTTAGCAAACATCAAAGGATTCATATCGGTGAGAAACCCTATAAATGTAAGGAGTGCGGGAAAGCCTTTCCATCAACCTCACAACTCAACTTGCATCAGAGAATTCACACCGATGAGAAATACTACGAGTGTAAGGAGTGTGGCAAGGCCTTCACCCGCCCCTCACACCTTCTTCGACATCAGAGAATCCACACTGGTGAGAAACCCCACCAATGTAAAGAATGTGGGAAAGCTTTCCGTTACGACACCCAGCTCAGCCTGCATCAGATTCTCCACACTGGGGAGAGACGCTTTGAGTGTAAGGAGTGCGGGAAAGTGTACAGTTGTGCCTCACAGCTGAGTCTCCATCAGAGAATTCACACCGGTGAGAAACCCCATAAATGCACGGAGTGCGGAAAGGCCTTTATCTCCGATTCCCATCTTATCCGCCATCAGAGTGTTCACACCGGTGAGAAGCCATATAAATGCAAGGAATGCGAGAAGGCCTTTCGCCGAGGCTCAGAACTTACCCGACACCTCCGAGTGCACTCAGGCGAGAAGCCCTATCCGTGCAGGGAATGTGACATGGCCTTCACTTGTAGCACAGAGCTCATTCGACATCAAAAAATTCACACGGGTGAGAGACCCCATAAATGTAAGCAGTGTGGGAAGGCTTTTATTCGACGGTCAGAGCTGACTCATCATGAGAGAAGTCACAGTGGTGAGAAGCCCTACGAGTGTAAGGAATGTGGAAAGGCCTTCGGTCGTGGCTCAGAACTGAGTCGACACCAAAAGATTCACACCGGTGAGAAGCCCTATGAGTGTAAAGACTGTGGGAAGGCCTTCCTCCGGGGCTCCCACCTTACTCAGCATCAGAGGATCCACTTAGGGCAGAGGAGTGAGTGAGGAAACGTGGGGTCACTCAGAATTTAAAATTCATCCCGGTAAGACATAAGTAAAGCCCCTGAGGTATAAAGAATAGGGGAAAGTGTTCGAGAATCACTGTGTCACGTAAGGGTTAGAATTTACTGGACGTATTTTTGTTACCGATGAGAAAATTTATCAATGTTAGGGATTGAGAGGAGTTTGTGAGTGTTCTGGAATTTATTAGCTATCAGTTCAGTTGGTGAAAAATTGAAAAACTCCATGAATATAAAGAAAATGAGAAGCTTTAAGAAGCAGCGAATGTATTAGAGACAATCTTTAAATCTTTCTCAACAGCAGGGTCATTAGCCATTCTGGGTGGTCAGGAGATACATATTTATACCTGGGGTGCCAATTTACTTGTTTTTCGTCTGGTAAGTCACACTTCAAGAAGACTACATTAATGTAAAAAAAAAATGCAGCAAATTTGTGCAGCAAATTCTTCCTTTTCCATTCAGAACTCCTTAAATATTTGCAAGCTTATCCTCTCAGATGAACCTGAGAATGGGAAGGATTAAGCCCACGTCAGGTTTTACCTTGCCTTCCATTGTAACTCACGTCTCATCGGGCAAATTTAACTCTACCTGTTCTCATTTATAAAGTAGTAGTATCAGCACCACATTTCTTAGTACCGTTGTGAAGGTTAAGTAATTATAGTTCCTAGAATAGTGTCTGACTCATAGTGCTAAATAATAATAATAGTGTGCTAAATAAGAACATTTTTATTTTCCTCATTGCGTTTTTTTTTTTTTTTTTTTTTTTTTTTTTAAAGATTTATTTATTTATTTATACAAGCACTGGGTACAGTCAGAAGCGCGGGAGGGTGAGAGAATTCACCAGAGCCAGAGTGGGGAGCAGAGCAGGCAGAAGGACCGAAGTACACTGCTGAGGGGAGCAGCGGGCGGCAGGAAAGGTCTGCGCGCCATGTGGGACCCTCCTCCAGTGGCCGGGGAGCAGCCGGGGATCGAACCGGCGCCGCAGAGGCCGCGGGCAGCTTCGCAACCCAGCGCTCAACCGCTGCGCCACCGGGGAGGCCCCCTCATTGCGTTTTAGAGCTCATATGAGAGGGACGCTTTACGCGTGCTGGGATTGTAGGAAATTTCCTACATCATCTTTGTCACTTTTGAGTGTGAGGTAATTCCTTCCACAGAAAAATTAAAAACTTAAGCTTTTATTCATACTTTGCCTTTTTGCCTCATGAGGGGATATAGACTCTCAGCTGAATAGAAGCAGGTTGCTGTGAGGTCAGTGAAAAGATTTAGACGATTTATTTAAACCTTTCAAAAAACTAAAGAGGCCATTTTGTGGGGAATCAGAAAATACCAAAGCCTTAGCCAAAATCCATTTCTCTGCAAGAAGAATTAAAGGAGATCTGTAAAAATTTTATGTTAAAAAGTAGATCAAGGAAAATTACCATTAAGAATGAAGGGCAGGGGCTTCTGTGGTGGCTCAAGGGGTTAAGACACAGCATTATGAAGCTATCCGCAGCCACTGCAGCACGAGTTCGATCCCCAGCCTGGGAGGTGACCCACAGACCTCTCCTGCCGCGCCCGCTGCTCCCCTCAGCAGTGCATTTCAGTCAGTCTGCCTGTTCTGCTCCCCGCTCTGTCTCTGGTGAGTCCTCTCACCCCTGCATCTCTGGCCTGCACCCCAGCTCTTGTATGCGTAAGTCTTTAAAAAAAAAACAAGGGAAAAGAGAAAAACATGTTGAAATGTGTAGGATATGACTAAGATGTATATGCAGAGATACACGTCTTTCAGTCGGTGTAGAAAACAGTGAAGAAGGTCAATTAAAAGCTGACCTCTGTCGATATGTGTAAAGGTCAGGATTCATTCTGACCTCTCTGCTTGATGCACTGCCTGTGCCTGGTGAGTTGCTAGTAAATATTTGTTGATCGGAAGAATGAAGACGAATAAGCATTCCACTCAAGTGTACAGAGGAGCTCCCACAAAGTAAGTGCAAAGCCAGGGAGTAAAAGCCTTAAAAGAGACTGCACCCTAACAAGAGAAACTCAAGCATCGCAAATGAGTGGAGATTTAAAGCAAGAAGGCGATATTGTGGCAGACACTGCTGTTTCTTCTTGTGGGTGTTACCATTCTCCCTGTGCCAGGATGGCCTGCTGCCCACAGACTCGGTGCCTTGTGGCCTGCTCTAATTTGTTTTGCATCTGGACAAGTGTGCCTGGTCTTGGGCACAGATCAGGGCAAAGTCTACAATTTTCTTTCCTGGCAAAATGGAAGGAAATGATCCTCGTAGACAACATGCGAATCTGTAAGTCTCTGTGATAACTGGAATTGTGGATGTTTTGCAGCTAGAGGGGCAAAAGGCTGAGATTGGCCCAGGGGATAGAGGGAATTGCCTGTGTCCTTGATGCTGTGGAACTGAGAAAACCATTCAGAACTGCCCTGTGTATAGGGTATGAAATAAGAAACTCCATGTATATCGGTCTAGAAATTTATACTCGACTTTCCATACGGTATCTGAGTCTTGGGGAAAATATTTTCATATATTTACACACAGATCGTCTCCTTTAGTAAATCGAGACTGTTTATATTAAACTTTTCCGTAGTATATCTGAAATTGTAGAAAAGCATCTTAAATATTTTCTTAAACTTATATACACAGATACGTACACATACTCAACTTTGATTTAGTAAGACGTAGAAATGTTGGTTATCTTAAGCTTTTTTTTACAGTATTCTGAAATCCTGGAAAAGAATTTTCCCGAATGAAGTAAGAACAACAACAACAAAAAAAAACTACACTATCTAATTCCTCTAGTCCCAGAGTATTTATTGTACAGATTAAATCTAACTCTTCAAGATACAGTCACAGTGACAGGCGAGCACAGCCCTTCTACCGAATTTGGAAAAGGACAGGAACCAAATCAGCTTAGCTATAAAAAATAATTCCTTGTACTCAGGGCTTGTGACTCTCACAATAAAAATAGCAAGTAAAATCTAGCGACTTATTAAAAGAAAAAAAATTTTAATCCACAATAAAATGGTTCATGACCTGAAATCTGTCCATTTGTTTAGAAACATAACAGAATGTGGACACTTTGAAAAGTTGACACTCAAATAACTCACCGACTGAAAGGGGAACTGAGATGTCAGCGTATTTTGACTCTGCCGTGATGTCTCTGCACTTGGCCATTTGCTCACACCTCACGGTCTAGAAATTCACGACAATTGGAATCATCATTCGGTGGATTCCATTTCTGCCCCGCGCTGTAGGAAATACATATTTGAAATAAGTTCAGGGTGAACATGGATTACGTGGTACATAAATCAGTCAACCCATTGGAGGACAACTTAACAAAAACCCTTGCGTTTTGTAAAAAAGGAAATGATTATTGAATTTTATCTGCACTGACATGTATTCCATAACGATTCTTAAGTTATGCCTGTTCTTAGAGAACCCATCCGAAGAATTAAAGAATTGGTGAAGCCAGGCAGGCAGGATCGTGCCACAGTGCCAGCCTCCTAGCCATTTGTAACCTATTTTGAATGACAGTGTTAAGAGGGATCCTGTTTGATTTCGGCTCGTGTATACCTATCTCTGAAAGACCTGAAGATTCGATTCTGAATTTAAGTTTTAGCAGAACCCGAGGCAGACAGCACCCCACTTTCCGTGAAAGTTTAAAAAGAAAAAAGACCCACATTTATTCTCTGACAGCGAACGTCTCCCCTGTTTTTCTCCATACACGAGAATCAGGCCTGTATCTGGGAGGTCGCTTGGCTGATCTTGTGGGGTGCAGGGAAGTTTAAATAGGGTTACACATGGAAGTGTAGCCTCTTTTCCAAGCTTGGCAATGTATAGTCAGTACCTCAGATCTGGCCGCTTAGCTTTAGACTTACATAATAAAGCCAGATCGTGACCTAACACAATCCAGTCTTCCACGAACGAAAATTCAGGATTGTTATTATAGAAATAATTGCATATATTTGCTGCACATGTGTTGTTGCCTGTTCTGTTATTTCTGTAGAGCAGGTGGGTGCCTTCCACAGGGGGTTTAGGATATAGTGGCTCGTGTATTCATTTCTGAACATGAGCCTCTCCAGGAATGTATGGTCACCCACTCCCTCCAGCAAGACTGAACATTTTTCCAGCTGGGTGGAAAAGAAAGTCTGCCTTCACCTTGCTTTTTGTAATTGTCCGCTTGAGCACCTGCCTTGTCTTAAGAATCATTGGAATTTTGTAAACTGCTTTTTTATCTCTTTTGTAAAACGAGTTGTTTTTGAAGCATTTTGTAGAAACTATTAAAGAGATTGGTTTTACCCTTGGTAGTTTGTTTCCCTAATCTACCATGTCTCTTGTATGCCCCCCTTTAAAATTGCCATTGAGGGCCTCCCCGGTGGCGCAGCGGGTTGAACGCAGCATTGTGAAGCTGTCCACGGCTTCTGCAGTGCGGGTTCGATTCCCGGCCGGCCAGGGAGATTCCCACATGGCGCAGCAGACCTCGCCTGCCTCACCCGCTGCTCCCCTCAGCAGTGTCTTCAGTCATCTGCCTGTTCTGCTCCCCGATCTGTCTCTGGTGAATTCTCTCACCCTCCCTTGCCTCTGACCTGTACCCCAGTTCTTGCATAAATAAAAATCTTTTTTAATTTTTTATTTTATTTTTTTTAAAATAATAAATTTTATTTTTATATTCCCCATACAATTGCAGCCCCCCCCATTCTGACCCCAATCCCTCCCCTCCCGCCCCCTCCCCCCTAAAAGTGTCTCTGGTTCATAGTTTTTTGTTGATTTTGATTTTCACTTTCTTATAGTTATTCATTTTCCTGGTCCCTTATTTAAGTTTTCTAGATTCCTGCTATGAGTGAGACCATCTGGTATTTTTCTTTTTCTTTCTGGCTTATTTCGCTGAGCATGATCCCTTCCAGCGCCATCCATGTTGCTGCAAATGGCATGTGTTTATCTTTTTTGAATGCTGAGTAATATTCCATGGTGTATATGTGCCACATCTTCTTGATCCAGTCATCTATTTTTGGGCATTTGGGTTGTTTCCAAAGCTTAGCTATTGTAAACAGTGCTGCTATAAACATAGGGGTGCAGGTGCTCTTTGGAATTGATGTTTCTGTGTCCTTTGGGTAAATACCTAGGAGTGGAATTGCTGGATCATATGGAAGCTCTATGTTTAGTAGGTCCAGAAATCTCCACACAGCTCTCCACAGTGGTTGGACCAGTTTGCACTCCCACCAACAGTGCAGGAGAGTTCCTTTTTCTCCACACCCTCGCCAACATTTGTTGTTGCTAGTTTTATAATATGTGTCATTCTCACTGGTGTAAGATGGTATCTCATGGTAGTTTTGATTTGCATTTCCCTGATGACAAGTGATGTTGAACATTTTTTCATATGCCTGTTGGCCATTTGCATTTCCTCTTCAGAGGAAATTTTAAAAAAAAATTTAAAAAAAGATAAAATTACCATTGAAGTAACATTATTTTACATCCTTGTTAGTGACCTGAAGTACAGGCTGCCCCCTCCCAGGGTGTGGTCACCATAGCCCCTCCCTCCACCCAAGCACTCCCAGTCACCACCATAGCCCATGTGTTCTCCATCCCCATTTTCACACCTCTCTTCCCCTGCACCCCTCTTCTCAAATGGCAAAAGGAATCAACCAACTTTCTCGAAGGACCTTAATACATCACAATCTGTGGGTCATATAATCTAACGGGAAAACCAATAATGCATCAACCATGGTTCCCAAGGACATTTTTGCCTTCCCAACCCCAACCCCAGGAGACATTCTGGTTGTCACTGTTCAGGGGACACTAGGTGTCTAGTGTAAAAGCCAAGGTGCTACCAAACACCCTGCTGCTTGTGCGGCCACCGCCACAGCAGAATGAGCTGGCCCAGAATGTCAGCAGTGCCAGAGTCAAGCCAAGAGTCTAAGCCCCCGGGCTGACTTCCAGGGAGACTTTATAAAAAAAAGGAGCAGGTCATGTTGGGCCTGCGGGCTGCAGCTAGCTGGTGACTGTTTTGAAAGCGCTGCAGCGGGATACTACCTGCCCGGGTAGAGGACAGATCTCTGGCTTCTCAGCCACACGCAATTGCAAGGCCACTGGGCTCAGGGAACAATAATGGGATTTAGTTAACAGGAAAGTTTCCACATAGGCCTCCCCTGGTGGCGCAGCAGTTGAGCGCTGGGCTGCGAAGCTGCCCGCAACCTCTGCAGTGCCAGTTTGATCCCCCGCTGGGGGTCGAACCTGCTGGCGGGGTGGGGGTGGGGGTCCCACATGGCACACAGACCTCTCCTGCTGCGCCCGCTGCTCCCTTCAGCAGCGTACTTCATCAGTCTGCCTGTTCTGTTCCCCGCTCTGGCTCTGGTGAATCCTCTCACCCTCCCGTGCTTCTGACTGTACCCAGTGCTTGTATAAATAAATAAATAAATAAATCTTAAAAAAAAAAAAAACAGTAAAGTTTCCACGGCACAGGCAGCCGACTCTCACCCAGGTGGTGTCCACAGTGTGCAGAAGTCCCAAACCAAAGGTCATTCAAGATGGCCCCGTCCCATCAGTTAGGGCCTGGAATGCGGGCTGGGATCCAACTCCCAGTAGCAGCTGGAGGCCTCACTTGCAAGGCAGCTGAGATGACGCCGCTGCAGCCACAGCTGCAGCCTGAAGGCCGGGATGGCCAGTGCCTGGGGCTGGGCCAGACAGCCATGGAGGCAGCAGCACTGGGAGGCCGCGCCAGGAGCCATGAACACCTACCAGAGGTGACCCAGTCACAGAGTGCCTGTCACCCCATCACTGCTGGCCAGTAGGCCACTCACCTCTGATTACCAGGCGCCTTGCAGCATCCTGAGCGCTGGCCTCCCTGTAGCACCAGGCTGGCCCGGAGCAGATTTTCTGTGATCCGGGAGGACAAGTAAAGCAGGAGTCCTGGAGCCCTCAGTGGCTTTCCCAGGCTTTTAATGATCCTTTTACCCCATTTGTAGTGAGCAAAGCAGGCGCAGGGCAGGCAGAGAGGTCTGGGGGCCTGGAGGCTGGCAGGTCTCAGCCCCCAGCGAATCTTCACTCTTTCCAGGCTCTCTGGCGCCCTCTCCTGGCCTCTCCTGCACCCCGCCACACGGTCCCCTGCTGCCCCCCTTACATGCTCAGTCTCCAAGCTCAGCTGCACCCGCTCACACTCGCCCACCCCACACTCCAGGCGCCGCCACCAGGCGCGCGTGTACGACCACAGGTGTCGATCATTGATGCTCATGGCGGGAGGGCAGAAAAAACCTGATCAGTTCCTTTGACCCAACACACACCAACAAACAAACAGCGCTTTGCGACTCCAGGCCTCTGGTGCTCCCTTCAGGCCCTGTCAGAGGCAGGCTGGATGCAGGGCAGCCCACTTAGCCTTTGCCAAGCATTTAAACGTCTCTTCTGCCATCAGCTCATGAGCTCATGATCCTTATTCTTTCCTCCCTTGGAGGCCAGGAACAGAGACAGTATCCCAAGCCGGCTCCTGCCCTGCTTTATCTCCTCTCTCAGATTCCCCACCTACGAGTCTGATTGGGTTTTCAATTCCGTGGCTGACTGGAACATTTAACACCAGTTCACACCTGGTTCGATCCGTCCATTCTAGAAGCCAGGCACAGGGGCGTGTGGTGCTATAATGGCAGGAGACCACGGAGCAGGTTTTCTGATGCAGTAGTTAGGGTAAAGGACGAGAGTCCTGGAGACCTCGGTGGCTTTTCAGGCTTTTGTTGGGATTTACCAGGTACACAGCAGGCAGGGGTGCTGGGGGGCTGGGGGGTTGGGAGGCTGGCAGGCCTTATATGGCTGGCAGGCCTCCCAGCCCCCAGCAAGTCTTTACTCTGTCTGGGCTCTCCGGCGTTCTCTCTGCTTCTCTTGTGGTTCTCTCGTGGTTCTCTTGGCGTCCCCGTGAAGCTGCCCTTATAAGCCCAGTCTCTCAGCCCAGGTGTACCCATTTATGCATGCCCATACCCTCTTCCAGGTGCCCACCATCAAGCATGCATTCAGGACCACAAGGATCCATCATCAGTCCTAATGGTGGGAGGGCAGAAAAGCCTGATACTTTACTTGTCCTCCAGGTGCCCACGAAGGACTGGCCTGGCCTGACCTCAGAACAGCTCGAGGGCTGGTGGGCTTGTGGGAGCCACAGCCAGAGGCAGCCTCAACGCAGCCAGAGGCCCTCTGCTCCGGTGGTCCTGCAGTGGGCGGGTGTAACATTGTAAGGGGGGGTGGGCTGCAGCAGCATGGCAGGGGCTGCCCCTGGGAGCCTGCTGGGGCTGGCCCTTTGTGCCTCACATGCCTCCCTGCAGCCCTGAACCAGGGCCTGCGCGCCACGGAGCATGTCGTGGGAGAAGCACTGCCATCCCCCATCACTTCTGGCCTCTGCCTGCAGCCTGTGCCCCAGAGGGGCCACTGGTGATGGGTGGGAAAATGCCCTCCACCCGCTGCCACTGGCACTGCCCACAGCAGTTTTGGGGGCCGGTCCCGGGAGAAACCGCCCACAGGCAGCAACTCCTTGGAGGGGGTAGAAAAATGGCCCCCTTTTCAAGGGCTCCTGCACTTAACTGGCACCCAAAAAGAGCCACTCTTGGCCCAGAGCTGCCTGTTCTGTTCCCCACTGTGTCTCTGGTGAATCATCTCACCCCCACACCTCTGGGCTGTACCCCAGCTCTTGTATGCATAAATAAATAAATCTTTTTTTAAAAAAAAAAGGGTATCCATTTCTATCTAAACAGAACTCTGGTGGCATCTGACAAGACACGCAGACATCGCATGACCAGACCTGAGGAGTCTCTAACCTCATTTTGATTTTAAACATTTTATTACTGAAGATTTCAAAAACATACAAAAGTAGAAATATTAAAACAATGAACCCGTGTGAACAAACCACTTCACTTCAATAATTATCAGTATTTTATCAATCCAGTTTCCAGCCCTACTGCCAATTTTCTCTTGCTCAAGTGTTTTAATGCAAATCTGGAAATCTTATCACTTCATAAATAGGTACGTGAGTCGTGAACACATCGATCTTTTAACAAACATGTGGATATTGCCATTTCTAACATATTATCATTCCTAAATTAATATTTCTACATACATCTATTATTAAGACCGTGTCCACTTGCCCTGCAATGTCTCCAAAATGTCTTTTTACATTTTATTCGAACTAGGTCCAAGGAATTAATTTGTTCATCGGTTCATGTCGACATTTAGTTGCTCTCTTAGTCTCTTTTGCCCTTCTTTTATTTTTCATGCCACTCATTAGCTGAAGAAATCAGATTTTTTTTTTTTTGTAAAATTTTACACATTCTGGAATGGTGGTGCCACTGACTTTGCTTATCTATTCTCCACATTTTTAGCTTTAAAGAATCTGCTTAAAGAGTTGATTCCCTTGGGTCATGATTTTGGCAATAAGGCTTCCAGGTGAAGGTATGTCCTTCCTCTTGCATTGCACCAGGAAGTGTGTCTTGGCTGACAGTCTCACTTCTGTAGAGGTTCAAACATATCAAAGGGCTGAGATGATCAGCTTGGTAAAATCATTCTAGATTCACCACTCGAAAATCTTTCACCTAGTAGCTTTAAAATCCATTGAAGATCATTTTCTGGGCCCATTGTTTTGTTAGGTATTAAAAATGAGTTTTTAAATCCTGCCAGTCTGTATTTAATGGTTGGATTTCATAAATAATAATAAAAAAGTAACAAAACACTTTACCTTGATGTTTTGGCGGCCTTGATGCTTAGTTCCCATGGAGAAACAAAAGAAATGTTTATTTTTCCCTTTATTAATTTTCAGAGTGATGGGTAGATGTCTACCCTCTCCACAGCTGACCAAACTGTGCTGCCATGACCAAGACCATCTGACCACTAGTGGGGTCATGTCAAAAGGCCCAATACCCCTGGTTGAAGATGAGGCAATCTGTCCATCAAAACCTATAGTGGGGCCTCCCTGGGGATGCAGGTGTTAAAAGCAGTGCTATCAAGCTACTGCCAGCCACTGCAGCAAGAGTTTGATCCCCCGCTGGCCAGGGAGCTACCCACATGGCCCAGCAGACCTCTCTTGTCTCCCTGCTGCTCCCCTTAGCAGTGTATTTCAGGCAATCCACCTGTTCTGCTCCCCACTCTGTCTCTGGTGAAACCTCTCACTGCCCGCACTTCTGGCCTACACCCCAGTTCTTGTATGCATAAATAAATAAATAAATCTTAAAAAAAAATAAACAGCTATATTGGCAATCCCAGAATGATGTTTTCCTTCTTTTACATAAGTTTTACACACACACACACACACACACACAAACATGCACACCCACAATATTACCTTTCCAAGTGGCTATTTTTCTTTTTGTTATCTTTTCGAGAGGTTTCTAAGTAATCTTGAACTGTGGTCACACAACAGGGATTATAAAACATTTGCTTTCTGGAATTTATTATGGCAAAACAATTTCCTGTTAGATTCCACAGTTGTACTCAATCTCAAATTCATACAATTCGTAAGGTTTCTTTTCAGTGTGAAGTTGCTGCTGCAGCTCAGGTGATAAGTAACTTCTCACATTCAATATAACAGCCTAGATTTGATCCAGAATAAATGAGCTTAACTTTCATAATGTTGAGCAATGAATGACAGAGAGCATTCTACATATATCACTCTACAGGGTATTCCTTTCATATGAATTCGCTAATGCTAATGATGATAACAATTATAGGTAATATTTACAGAAAACATGCAATGTGGTGCTATTTTTCCAAGTTACTAATTACTTAACCCTTACAGAACTCCTATTACACAGTGTGGCAGGCTGACTTTGAATTGGCCTCCAGTGGTTCTGCCTCCTGGTATTCACATTTTTGTGTAACTCTCTTACCCTGATGTGGGGCAACTAGTAACTTTCTTCTAACCAGAGGAAGATAGCAAAGATGATGGGATGTTATTTCAGTGCTTAGATTACACAAGATCATGACTTTCAGGATGCTAGCAGACTCTATTGTCTTCTTGGCTTGAACACTTGGATAAAATGAGCAGCCAGGTTGAAGGGGTCCAATTCAAGGGGCCCAGATCGCAAGGAACTGAGTTCAGCCTTCACCCAACAGCCAGCATGAAACTGATGACCCCTCAGTGTGACAGCCTCCAAGGAAACGAATTCAACCAACAACCACGTGAGGATGAAAGTGGACACTCCCCCAGTCCAGCCTTCAGATGAGACCCAGCCCTGGCTGAAACCTCGATTTTAGCTTTATAAGAGAATATGCAGCAGAGGACCCAACTAAGTTATCCCCAAACTCCTGACCTACATAAATTGTGTATATTTTAATAAATGTGCATATTTTAAACTATTAAGTTGGTGGAAATTTATTACACCACAATAAATAACTACTATACACAGGTATTATTATCAGCATGTTATAAGTGAGCAAATGAGGCAAAATTAGTTTGGGTACCTTGTCCAATAACACACTGGTAATAAAAGTGGTGAAATGGAGCCAGTGATAGATAAGGTTAGAGATTTTCCTACATTCATGACATTATTCCTTCATACAAATTTGCTGAAGATAAACAATGTTTGCACGTTGATGAATGACTTTTAAAGCAACATTTTTTTCCTGCAATATAAAACTTCCTATCCTTACTTGTGAACATGAAATAAATTTTTTCAAAAACGAATTTTGTGATGTTTCTATAATATCATGTATGGTTGAAGGCTTTCCAATGTTAAATTCCATTATGAATTTTCTGATGTTGAGTAAGGTGGGAATGTTGTCTAAAGGCCTTCTTACATTCCTTACATTTGTAGGGTTTCTCACCGGTATGAATTCGCTGGTGTTGAGTAAGAAATGAATAAAGTCTAAAAGCCTTACCACACTCCTTACATTCATAAGGTTTCTCACCAGTGTGAATGCTCTGGTGCTGAGTCAGCTGGGAAAGCAGTCTAAAAGGTTTTCTACACTCCTTACATTCATAAGGTTTCTCACCAGTGTGAATACTTTGATGCTGAGTCAGCTGGGAAAGCAGTCTAAAGGCCTTCCCACACTCATCACATTCATAAGGTCTCTCCCCGATATGAATGCTCTGATGTGAAATAAGCTGTGAGTAGCTACTAAAGGTTTTCCAACACTCCATACATTCATAAGGCTTCTCACGGGTATGAATTCTCTGATGGCGAACAAGTTGTTGCCTTAATCGAAAAGTCTTCCCACACTCCTTACATTCGTAGGGTTTCTCGCCAGTGTGAATACTCTGATGGACAGTGAGCTGTTGGCATATTCTAAAAGTCTTCCCACATTCCTTACATGCATAGGGTTTCTCACCAAAATGAATTTTCTGATGGACTCTAAGGTCTGGGCCGCATACAAAGGCTTTCCCACACTCCTTACATTCATAGAGCTTCTCGGCGGTGTGAAGTCTCTGATGGCGAGTAAGGTGTGTACACTGCCTAAAGGTCTTCCCACAGTCCTTACATTCGTAGGGTTTCTCACCGGTGTGAATTCTCTGATGTCGAGCGAGTTGCTGATGTACTCGAAAGGCCTTTCCACATTCCTTACATTCATAGGGCTTCTCACCGGTGTGAAGTCTCTGATGTTGGGTAAGTTCCTGGAGTACTGTGAAGGCCTTCCCACAATCCTTACATTCATAGGGCTTCTCACCGGTGTGGAGTTTGTGATGTCGAATAAGGTGGGCACGCTGTCTAAAGGCCTGCCCACACTCCTTACATTTATATGGCTTCTCACCCGTGTGGATTCTCAGGTGTTGACTGAGAGTCGAACGGCGGATAAAGGTCTTCCTACATTCCCTGCATTCATATAACTTTTCTCCATTATGAACGATCTGATATTCAGCAAGAAAATTATGCTTTTTGTAAGTGCTCACTTTTTCAGAGGTCATTTTCATTGGTCCAAAATAGCCCTCTTGCGGCTCCTTTTGCCCCTCAAGGTTGCTTTTGCATTCCCATTCACTTCCAAAAATGGAGTCCTGGAGACTATAGCTTTTAATTCTTTCCATTATCTCCCACTGGATTGAACATATTTCATAAATGTCCTTTTCTGGAGATAAAGTATTGGTCCTGTTTCTGGACTCCAAATCTGAAAGAAAATAAGAAAGCAAATACTTCTACAGAGAATTAGGAAGGAACCTAATATAATGTTTATTAAAAGTGAGGGGAGCAGACATCGATAAAACACAGGCATTTGGGCCACAGTAGCACATAGGTCTACCCAAAAAACCTTATCTTCTGCCAAGTTACACACCCAAAACTTGCAGAACTTGTAGGGAAAATCAGGCTGGAGCAGACCAGGAAAATCTATGCAACTGTATCAGCAGAGCATTTACAAGTAATTCCCATCTCAAGAGATAACCCAAATAGTGGCTCAGCATGGCTGAAGCCACTTCAACAGATATTAAAATGCACAAAAATGAAGTGGGAATGCTGGATTTCAGCTGCTGAACTTGCACATGAAAATAATGCCCTGAGGCCCCCCCAACTGGTGGCACAAGGGGTTAAAAAGCAACCTATGAAGCTATCCGCAGCCACTGCAGCACAAGTTTGATCCCTGGCCAAGGAGCAACCCACATGGCGCAGCAACCTCTCCTGACTTGCCCACTGCTCCCCTCAGGAGTGTATTTCAGTCAGTCTGCCTGTTGTGTTCCCCGCTCTGTCTCTGGTGAATCCTCTCGCCCCTGGCCTGTACCCCCATTCTTGTATGCATGAATAAATAAATCTTAAAAAAAAAGTTGGGGCTTCCCTGGTGGCACAAGGAGTTAAGCGTCAGCACTGTGAAGCTATCCGCAGCCACTGCAGCATGAGTTCAAATCCTGGCCAGGGAGCTACCCACACGGCACAACAGACTTCTCCTGACTCATCCACTTCTCCCCTCCACATTGTATTTCAGTCAGTCTGCCTGTTCTGTTCCTCACTATGTCTCTGGTGAATCCTCTCAGGCCCCTCCTCACACACACACACACACACACACCCCTCTGGCCTGTACCCCAGTTGTTCTATGCATAAATAAATAAATATTTTTTTCAAAAAAGGATTCTAATTTGCTTCCAGGTCTTGGCATAGGGTCTCTGAGAAAAGGTCCCGAACAGCATTGCAAAATGTGGATCCACCCTCACAGACATGGCAACTGACTGAGGTAAGGACGTCCCCGGCCTGCTCAGCCCTCACTCACCAGGGCAGTGTCTTCTCATCCCTTCCCTCATGACCATCCAGGGATCCTTCCCTTCATCCAACAAGGTAATCACTTCTGGTTTAGAAATGGAAGATCCTGCTTAAAAGATAATGTGACAAGAGATTATTTTTTATTTTATTTTATTTTTTAAAGATTTATTTATTTATGCATGCAAGAACTAGGTGTAAGCCAGAGGTGCAGGAGGGTAAGAGGATTCACCAGAGACAGAGTGGGGAGCAGAACAGGCAGACTGACTGGAATACACTGCTGAGGGGAGCAGCAAGCGAGACAGGAGAGGTCTGCTGTGCAATGTGGGTAGCTCCCTGGCCGGCAGGGGATTGAAATTGTGCTGCAGTGGCTGGTGATACCTTGATACCACTGTCTTTAACCCCTGCGCCACCAGGGAGATCCATTTTTTTTTTTTAATTTATTTATGCATAAAACAACTGGGGTATAGGCCAGAGGTGTAGGGAGGTAGAGGGGGTGAGAGGATTCACCAGAGACAGAGTGGGGAACAGAACAGGCAGACTGACTGAAATACACTGCTGAGGGGAGCAGCGGGTGATGCAGGAGAGGTCTGCTGCACCATGTGGGATCGAACTCGTGCTGCAGTGGCTGCGGATAGCCTCATAGGTTGCGTCTCAATCCCTTGCACCACCAGGGAAGCCCAATCGCTATTAACTTTTATTATTATTTCACAGAGAGGAGAGTAAGAGGCTTCTTGAAAACCCCTCAGAGACTTTCTTGGCTATTCACTCAAAGTTCAATCAATACAAGGCCTCCCTGGTGGCGCAAGAGGTAAGTTTCAGCACTATGAAGCTATCGGCAGCCACTGCAGCATGAGTTTGCTCCCCGGCCAGCAGACATCTCCTGTCTAACCCGCTGCTCCCTTCAGCAGTGGATTTCAGTCGGTTCACCTGTTCTGCTCCCCACTCTGTCTCTGGTGAATCCTCTCACTCCTCTGCACTTCTCGACTGTACCCCAGTTCTTTTATGCATGAATGAATGAATAAATAAATTCTTAAAAAACCCCAAAAAACAAAGTTCAATACAAAATTTTTAGATTTTAACTTTCAGCTACAAAGCAGGTAGAATTGAATAAATTTGTTACAGGAAACAGAACACATTTACCTGAGTTTTAAATGGATGTTGTAGATTCACTCCAGACTCATTAAGTTCAACAGGTGCCTTTGATTTTCAGAGCGACTCAACAGCCCTGGTCTAGATCTTCTCTTTTTAAAAGATTTATCCACCCATGCATACAAGAACTGGGGTATAGGCCAGAGGTGTTGGGGGGGGTGAGACGATTCACCAGAGACAGTGGGGAACAGAACAGGCAGATCCACTGAAATCCACTGCTGAGGGGAACATCAGGTAAGACAGGAGAGGTCTGCTGAGCCATGTGGGTGACTCCGTGGCCTGGGATAGAACTCAGGCCAAGGCGGTGGGCCATGCGGTGAAAATGCTGAGACTTAATCCCTAGTCCACCAGGGAGGCCCCCTGTTTCTAGGACTTCCCCCTGCAGGGGAAACGAGAGAGGAAAGTTACTTCTAGATATCAGTTCTGAGCTAAGATTCAAAGTGAAATCCAGTTTTTAGTTTCCAAATCCAGTCCTTAGAGGATAAGGAAACAAGAAAACTATAGAACCTAAAAAAGCCTGAAGGACACAGCAGGATGGGCGTGATGGAGTGTTCAGTAGACGGGCCTGTCTCCAATTCACAAGCTGGAATCATTTGGGATTCCAAATGTACCTAGCTGCTGAAAAATACAACCCCAAAGCTGACAGCAGAGGAAGTTAATGAGACTTGGGGTGAGCAGGGCCTCCCTGGTGGCGAAGGGGATTGGGCACCACACTGTGAGGTAGTCCACGGTCTCTGCAATATGAATTCGATCCTGGACCGGCCAGGAAGCAACCCACATGGCACAGCAGACCTCTCCTGCCTCGCCGCTGCTCCCCTCAGCAGGGTACTTCAGTCAGTCTGCCTGTTCTGCTCCCCACTCTGTCTCTGGTGCATCCTCTCACCCCCTGCATCTTTGGCCTGTTAGCCCAGCTCTTGTATGCATAAATAAATAAATCTTTTTAAAAAAAAGAGAGACTTGGGGTGAGCAGCCTTACCCAGCGAGATGAAGTTGCTGTAGTTCTCCCACATCACATCCCTGTATAAGTCCCGCTGAGCAGAGTCCAGACACTCCCACTCCTCTGGCGAGAAGTCTACGGCTACGTCCCTGAATGTCACTGAGGCCTGGAAAAAGAAAAGTCAGGTATTACTTGTGTTAATAAATGACATTTTTTTTTTAATGGAACGAGAGGGGATTGAAGGGTGCGCTGCAGAGAGGATGCCACACGGCAAGCAAAGGGGGCTCCTGCTATGTGTGGGAGACAGTAAGATAAGTAGTGTTGGGCCTGCCCTGGTGGCGCAGCGGTTGAGCACTGGGCTGCAAAGCTGCCCGCAGCCTCTGCAGCGCCGGTTCGCTCCCCGGCCACCGGTGAGGTTTTCACATGGCGTGCAGACCTCTCCTGCCGCCCGCTGCTCCCCTCAGCAGTGTGCTTCGTCAGTCTGCCTGCTCTGCTCCCCGCTCTGGCTCTGGTGAATTCTCTCACCCTCCCGTGCTTCTGACTGTACCCAGTGCTTGTATAAATAAATAAATGAATCTTCAAAAAAACAAAAGAAGAAGATAAGTAGTGTCACTGAAGCAGAGAGCCCGTAAGTCTGAAATAGTCCAACAGCTGTAGTTAGGATGAAATCTCACCCAAACAGATCTGGAAATGTATAAAATAAGCAAACAAAAGTTCCAATTAAAACAATGTGTACAGGCTTCCCTGGTGGTACAAGGGGTTAAGACTCAACCTATGAGGCTGTCCACAGCCTCTGCAGCACAAGTTTGATCCCCGGCCAGGGAGCTACCTACATGGCGCAGCAGACCTCTCCTGTCTCGCCCGCTGCTCTCCTCAGCAGTGTATTTCAGTAGATCTGCCTGTTCTGCTCCCCGCTCTGTCTCTGGTGAATCCTCTCATACCAACTCATCTCTGGCCTGTACCCCAGCTCTTGTATGCATAAATAAATAAATCTTGAAAAAAAAAACAAAAAACAAAAGGAGAATGAGACATAGACTCACATGCGCCATGGTTTCACGCTGCAAGAACAGGTCAGCTCTTTTCAAGATGTCTCCGTGGGAGAAGTACAGGACCCGGAGAAGCCAGATCTGGAAGAAGAAAAAGTCGTGAAACCACAGGCGCCTTAGAGTTCCCCAAGTGATTTCTGTCCACATGAGCTTTTCTCATCTTCCACTCCTGCACCCAAGCTATTGCCCACCACCAAACCCACACCCGTCCCTACCCACAGGAGCAGAGGGGAGCACGGGAGCGTGGAGAAATTCAAGCCCTGAAGCAGCCCACCTGAGCCATGATGGGCTTGGTGGAGAGACCCTGACACCATCTGTGTGGGGATGTGGGTCTGGTCCCAACACTGACTTGTATGACTTGTATGAGCCCTAAGCAGCTCCCCTCTCAGAGCTGAAATCAGGCCACGCCATTCAAACAGAGCCTCCCTTGAGGCCCCAGGATCCTGCTGAAGTTTCTTCTTATTTTTTTAAAAAAAGATTTATTTATTTTATGCATACAAAAACTGGGGAACATGCCAGAGGTGTGGCGGATGAGAGGATTCACCAGAGACAGAGGGGGGAATAGAACAGGCAGACTGACTGCTGAGGGGAGCAGTGGGAGAGACAGGAGAGGTCTGCCTCGCCATGTGGGTTGCTCCCTGGTCGGCCGGGGATCGAACTTGTGCATTTCTGTCAGTCTGCCTGTTCTGTTCCCCACCCTGTCTCTGGTGGATCCTCTCATCCCCTGCGTCTCTGGCCTGTACCCCAGCTCTTGCATGCATAAATAAATAAATCTTAAAAAAAAAATAGAAAGAACCTTTTAAGATACTAAGTCTGACTAATTAAGGAGATGTGTGTGAAAACCAAAAAATATCTATCATGATGACTAGACTGGGGACTTTAACCCATATTAGCAAGGTCACCAGGAAAAGGACTGTAGGTTCATCCAAATTTAGAACCATGTGAAGCCATGTTTAAGCCCTAAAAATGCTGTTTTCCAGAAGCCACACTTGTGGAAGTAAGGAACCATGTAACATGTACGTAATGATGTAGAGAGGCATACTGCATAATAGCTAGAAACTAAAAGGAATCCAGTTGGGATAATCGCTGAATAAACCAGTGCATGTACGCCACTGCAAGCCACACAAATATTAGAGTGATAATGTTGATGAAGGAGGCTAAGCCAATGCATTAAAACAACAATAAAAGAACAGGATGTGCAGCATTAAGCTATTCTGACAGGAAAAAAAAATCAGATTTATGCCTAGAAACACTTAAAATGTTTACAGTGAAGCAGTGACATTCCCACACACCCAGTGTGTCTGTTAAACACGCAAATACTGCAAATAAGCAAAAGATCTTCCCAGCTCAAGGTTTTCTTTCAAGCTTTCACTGAATTGAGAAACAAGCTCAGGATACCCAAGAACAGATGCTCTTCTTTCTGAGTGACTTTTCTGTTTTTTTACTCCAGCTTCTAATTAATGAATTCTTTTTTTACTTCAGCTTCTAATTAATGAACCAAGTCTGTGACTTAATTTGCTCAAGAATATTGGTGTCCTATCTTGACAATAGCAAAGTCTCTGACATTCTCATAGCTGCTTCCATTCACATCTTCCTGACAAACAGGTTTATTTTGCTTCTGAACCAACCCTTTTGGCTAAGATGCCTCAGAATCCCTCCATCAGATAGATACTCTTGTCCTACTAGTCTCACTTTGCATATAATGCCATTAAAACATAAACTGTAAGGCATCAATCTTACTGTATGCAATCCATTTCCCTCCATAGAGACCCCAGAGCTTGAGTATCCCCTGGACATAACCTGACAGGGCTTCCTATCAGATTAATATCTCAGGGCTTCCTATCAGATTAATATTAATGGATGACTAAGGCAGGAAGGAAATTTTTTTAAGCACACATAAAGATTAGATGGCCTACTAATACAGGCCTTCCTGTCAAACGTCCAGGATATAAATCTCAGCTTTGTAGTTTTTTTAAAAAAAAAGATTTATTTATTTATGCATACAAGAACTGGGGTATAGGCCAGAGGCGCGGGGGCGGGGGTGAAAGGATTCACCAGAGACAGAGTGGGGAGCAGAGCAGGCAGATCTTCTGAAATACACTGCTGAGGGGAGCAGCAGGAGAGACAGGAGAGGTCTGCTGTGCCACGTGGGTAGGTCCCTGCCCGGGGATTGAACTTGTGCTGCAGAGGCTGAGGATAGCTTCATAGGTTCCGTCTTAACCCCTTGTGCCACCAGGGAGGCCCTCAGCTTTGATAGTTTTCAACTGTGGGATCTTAGACATGCTACTTAATTTTTCAGTCTAGTCACCCCCAAAATAAAATGGTTATAGATTCTATCTCAAAGGGTTGTGATGAAGATGAATAATTACTACATATAAAGCACTTAAAGTAGCAAACAGGCATTTAATAAATGTCAGCTCTATCACTCAAGATGAATATGACATATTTTCTCCCGCCATAATTACTGAAAACTTTCTCTCCTGCTCTTTTATTTTCTTCCATAAAATAATGGAGATCAGCAGCCCTGCTCTTTCTGATAACGCTGATAACTTTCAAATCTTCACCTCGAGAGGCAATTCCTCTTGATTAACAATTTACAAAAGGGGGATAATGTGGATAGATGAAGCAAATGTGGCAAAATCCTCCTAATTTTTGAACCTGGTGATGAGAAGAATTACACAGAGTTACAATGCAATAGTGACAACTAAGTCAGCTAAGCACTTGCTACAAGTCAAGCATTGTCTGAGGAGTTGACATCTATTAAGTCATGTATTCAGAGCAAGCCTAGCCAGCCGGTTCACCACTATTCTCCTGTAATACCGGAAGGAGGGCCTCCCTGGTGGCGCAAGGGGTTAAGCATCGCATTAGGAAGTTGTCTGCAGCCTCTGTAGCATGAGTTCAATCCCCAGCCAGGGAGCTACCCACATGGTGCAGCAGACCTCTCCTGTCTCGCCCGCTGCTCTCTTCAGTGTATTTCAGTAGATGCGCCTGTTCTGCTCCCCACTCTCTCTGGTGAGTCCTCTCACCTCCCTCCCCAACCCCCCACCACTGGCTTATACCCCAGTTCTTATATGCATAAATAAATAAATCTTTCAAAAGAAATAAAAACATTGGAAGGAACTGTGGCATGGAGAGATGAGATAAACTGTCCTGAGTTCACCACCCTACAGAGCAGGGCTAGGATTAGAACCTGTAATTTAGCTCCATCACCTATACTACTGCCCCAACTCTAAACTGCTTCTCCCAAGGCCTCATAAATATGTGGCCTGAATGAACTCAGGCTGTCAAAAACTTCAACCCACTTCTCAAATTGCCTTCCCTTCTTCTATTAATCTCTTCCCTTGTTAATATTGACCTGTCAAAAATACTGTCACAAGATTGCAAAATGCAAAAGCCCAATAGCCAATCAAATTACCTCGCATCTTCCCCTGCTTCTGAACTCAGGGCAGTGGAAAAGATCAAGACTCCAGGGCCACCATGGTGGCGCAAGAGGTAAAGCACAGCACTGTGAAGCCTTCGGCAGCCTCTGCAGCATGAGTTTGATCCCCGGCCCCACCCAACCAGCCAGGGAGCTGACCCACATGGCGTAGCAGACCTCTCCTGTCTCACCCGCTGCTCCCCTCAGCAGTGTATTTCAGTCAGTCTGCCTGTTCTGCTCCCCACTGTCTCTGGTGAATCCTCTCAGCAACCACAGCCCCTCCTGCACCTCTGGCCTACACTCCAGTTCTTGCATGCATAAATAAGTAAGTCTTTTCTTCAAAAAAAGATCAGGACTCTGACTAAGCTGTAATCTCAACAAATCACAGCCTACAATAAAACTCTTCAGTTGGCCTCTCTTGGGGTTTACCTCACCCCATCCAAATGATTAGAGAGAAGCAGCTCACAGGAGGAAGTAAATGATTCACAAGAATCCCCCACTGGAGAGGGGAGTGTGTGTGTTGGGGTGAGGGGTCACTACCCCATCTCTCCCATCATTCCCTGGATAGGAAGGCAAAACACCAGGTCAATGAACAGGCCATTTCAGGTGTTAATATCGAATCATCCCAAGACCAATCTGGGGCAAAATCAGGGGGCAACATCAGTGTCATTAACACGAAAGGGAGGAAATTCCACAGGAATGGCTGGAATGTCACCGAGTAGAAGAAAAGTTCTTTGGTAAAGGCTAAGAATTCTGAGAAGAGGGGCCTCCCTGGTGGCCCAGTGTTTGAGCGCTGGGTTGTGAAGCTGCCCCGCAGCCTCTGCAGTGCTGGTTCGATCCAGGCTGCTCCCCGGCCACCAGAGGAGGGTCCCACGTGGCGCACAGACCTCTCCTGCCGCCCGCTGCTCCCCTCAGCAGTGTGCTTCCGTCCTTCTGCCTGCTCTGTTCCCCGCTCAGGCTCTGGTGAATTCTCTCACCCTCCCGCGTTTCCGACTGTACCCAGTGCTTGTATGTATGTATGTATGTATATATGTATGTATGTATGTATAAATAAATAAATATTTAAAATGTATATATATATAATATATATATAAAAAGAATTCTGAGAAGAAGCTAAGAGGCCTGGAACAATTATAAAATGGTTACTGCTTCTGAAGTGAGGTTAGGAGAGGCAATGATTAACTGGACAATGCTATGGTGAAGTGAGTTTAGCCAGTGGGTACCCTCAGCAATGAAGAGCCCCATTAACAAAACAAAAATACCAAAGCGCTTCTGGAGCCTCCTTGGTAAGGGAGCTGTAAACTCTCCAAAGAGGGGGTCGCTATGACATTTTACCCCAGCTGGACAACCTAGCGAGAAGGAATGTTTCTATCAACTTTGCAGCTGGAGGGACCTGTCTCTTGCCTTCCAGCTGTCTCTTTCTCTTCCGAGCTGATTTTAACTCACGCCGCAGAAGCAGGTGTCTCCATGGCCAGAAAAATAAACACACATTTCAGGGAACAAAGAAGAAACCCATATTCACCTTGCTCTAGGTATCCGTGCGGAGCTGACACGTACATACACTTCGGAGGGCTGACGGACACATCTGCTCTCTCTCCTTCCTCAAGATCCCCAGGCTGGGGAAGGAGACAGGCAGCTAGGGAGGCTGAGCCTTTCGGGCCCAATCAGGACACACCCCCGTGCCCCGCCAGCTCGGAGCCTGCACCTCTCAAATAACGCCCTGAAAGCGAGAGGGAGCCCGGGGGGAGCTAAGCCCTCGCGCAGGCAGAATGAAAGGCCAGAGAACAAAGGCCGGGGCTGGGATCTGCCTCCTCGCCCGCCGCAGCCGCCTCGGGGGGGAGCTCGGGGTGAGCGGCTCGTCCTGCCACGTGCGCTTTCTTCGCAGAACTGCGTCTTTTTGTCGGGGGGCCCGCACTTGGGGGTGCACACATCTAACTCGGAGCCATGCTGGGCCGCCGACTCTGAGCGGCCCAGGGGACCGAAGGCCGAGGACGCCTCAGGTAGGGCCCCTGCGCCCGGCCGGCGTCGCCGGCGCCACGGTCCCTGCACCCCCTGCACGCGGAGCCCCGCGCCGCCCCCGCGCCGCCCCCGCGCCCATTTCCTCCATGCACGCGACCCACTCACCTCGGAGCCGACACGGCCGAGGAAGCCGGAAGGAAACTGGGCGCAAGGGCCTGTGGGAAATGTAGTCCGCGGCGGGAGCGCCCAGTCCCCGCCCCCCTGGCTGCGGGAGAGCGCGCGCGCCCCTGGGGGCTTGAGTTTGGGGTCGTGGTGGGAGGGGCCGGGAGAGCCCTGGACTTCCCGTACCCCCACGTGGACTAAAATTATATATTTGCATCAATTTGTGGTCCTTTCCTGTATGAATGACACATCATTTGATTAGGGAGACTTCAGTATTTTTATTTTATTTTATATTTTTAAAGATTTATCTGTTCATTTGATTAGGGAGCTTAAGTATTTTTAAAAAGCGGATGGGTTGGCCTGGCTGTTCTTGGGGAACCTGCACAGCCCCTACTATGAGTACTGGGAGCACTTCAGGTGCAATGATTGACCTGCCCCCCCTCGAGTCTCTCTTCCCAGGTCTTTTCTCCTCGCGGTCCTTAGTGCGATCAGACTTTTCTTCGGCTACCCACTGGTGGTCTGCTTCCCAGATTTTCTTGGGGGTTGGTAATCTTCAGTATTCACTAGCAGTTTCACTAGCATATTGAAAACCAGAACATCCCTTGCCACACAGAGGCACGGATTTCTGCATCATGCACAACCACTTCGTACACATTTTCTTCATTAGCTATTCTGTTGGGTTTCTGGTCGTATATAACATTGTGGCTTCAAGTGTTCCAGTTTCTTGATAATGAACTTGAGCATCTTTTCTCATCTTTACTGGCCAACTGGGTGTCATTTTTTAAAAGTGTTTGAATCCTCCGCCCCTCCCCCTGCCCACTTTTCCTACTTTTTTGTCTGCAGCTTGCCAATCTGTAGTTCATTATGTATTTTGGGTGAGTCTTTGATCAAACATATATTTTGTGAGTACATTATCCTGTGCCTAGACTTTTCCTTCTGAATTTAACATAATAAAACCATTTTAAAGCAGTGACCCAATGGAGAAAGAACATTACATAAATTTTTTTTGTTGAAGATTTATTTATGCGTACAAGAACTGGGGTACAGGCCAGAGGTGCAGGAGGGTGAGAGGATTCACCAGAGACAGAGTGGGGAACTGAACAGGCAGACTGACTGAAATACACTGCAGAGGGGAGCAGCGGGCGAGACAGGAGAGGACTGCTGCGCCATGTGGGTAGCTCCCTGGCTGGGGGTCGAACTCGTGCTGCAGTTGCTGTGGATAGCTTCATAGGTTGTGCCTTAACCCCTTGCGTCACCAGGGAGGCCCAAACGTTACATAAATTAATGGAAATTATAATGAGGGGACATACACAATTTTCTTTGGGAAGAATTCTGACAGTTTGATAAAGGAGTAATTTGTTTTTAGAAGGAAAAAAGAATAAGCCATATTCTTACATGCAGACATCAAGTAGCAATGTCTTTTTTAATGTCAAAAAAAAGAGAAGTCACTACTCTGAAATCATAGCAATAATTGGTAGTTATGACATGGTATAGACTTTTCCACTTTTGGAAAATAAATTTTGCTAGTATCTGCCTCCAATGTTTTTATTAGTCAGGGACCTAATTTATAAGAAGTTATATGGCAATTCTGCTAAGCAGTGTGAAAAGCTTATTATGTTCACATACAGTGGATATGTTAGTTACACTGTTCTTTCTATTGCTGTGTAATAAATTATCCCAAACAGTGGTATAGGGGAAGCAAATCAATTTCCCTCTACTATTCAAGGTTCTTTCTGAAACCTCCTTATAAGACAAGCTAATAGGAGAAAAACAGACACGTTTAACAATAAATATATCTCCTGTATACATAGGGGATACCCAGGAAAACTGAGTCACTTCCTGAACTGGCTCAAGCCTTCTAGAAAAGTAAAGGGCCGGCCTCCCTGGTGGCACAGGTGGTTGAGCACTGCACTGTGGGGCTGTCCCCAGCCTCTGCAGGGTGGGTTTGACCCCTGCTGGCCAGGGAAAAACCCACATGGCGCAGCAGACTTCTTTCTCGCCCACTCTCCCCTGTATTTCAGTCAGTCTGCCTGTTCTGGTCTACACCCCGGTTACTTACACACACACACCCCCACCCCCACCCACCCACCCCTGGCTTACCTAATTTAGAGATATATAATATAGTGGGTTCTGTCATTCCACTCTACCCATTAAAAGCTTCAGTCTTTCACTTAATGGTCTTTACACTCATTGATATCACCACCAAGATCCATTATTTCCTAAGTGTGACTTTTCCAATTCCATCATTCCTTTGACCTTCATTAGACAGAATTCTCTAATAAGGAACTTACCTTCACCGGCTTTTGGTTATCCTGAAATATAGTTCATGAAGGAAAAGCAATATAAATGCTCCATTTCCCCCTTTATTAATAAATAACCTTATTTGGTCGGGAAAAAAAAAGTCAAAGGCTACAGTGACAATGACAAAGGGATTGAGGATCTCATGAGAAAATTCCTACACAGGCCAGATAGGACCATTTGACCATAAAAGGGCTACTTTGGATTTTTTAAAAATTATGCTGAGGGGCCTCCCTGGTGGCGCAGCGGTTGAGTGCTGGGTTGCAAAGCTGCCTGTAGCCTCTGCAGCACCGGTTCGATCCCCAGCCGCTGGGCAAGGGTCCCACAAGAACCTCCCCTGCCACCCGCTGCTCCCCTCAGCAATGTATTTTGTTGGTCTGCCTGTTCTGTTCTCCGCTCCGGCTCTGGTGGGTTCTCTCACCCTCCTGCGCTTCTGACTGTACCCAGTGCTTGTATAAATGAATAAATAAATCTTGTAAAAAAAATTATGCCGGAGTCATCATATAGGTGATTAAAAAATTTCCAGACAACCTATCTATGTTATCCTTTGACTTTAAATTAAATTTAGAATGGGTGGCACAGGCGGTTGAGCACCGCACTGAGGCTTTTCGCAGCCTCTGCAGCGTGGGTTTGATCCTGGCTGGCCGGCCGTCCGGCAAGTATCCCACATGGTGCAGCAGACTTCTCCTGTCTTGCCCGCTGCTCCCCTCAGCAGTGTGCTTCATCAGTCTGCCTGTTCTGTTCCCTGCTCTGTCTCTGGTGAATCCTCTCACCCTCCCACACATCTAGCCTTTACCCCAGCACTTGTATAAATAAAAAATTTTAAAAATCTTAAAAAAAAAATAAATTTAGAATGGGGCCACAGAATGTAGATTTTTCTTATGAACAAATTAAAAAAAATCTCACTTTCACTACTTTTTTTTTGAAAGATTTATTTATGCATACAAGAACTTGGGTACAGGCCAGAGGTGCAGGGGGTGAGAGGATTCACCAGAGACAGAGTGGGGAACAGAACAGGCAGACTGACTGAAATACACTGCTGAGGGGAGCAGCGGGCAAGTCAGGAGAGGATTGCTGTACCATATGGGTTGCTCCGTGGCCAGCAGGGATTGAACTGGCACTGCAGAGGTTGTGGACAGCTTCACAGCGCTGCGCTCAACCACCTACACCACCAGGGAAGCTGTCTATTTCACTATTTCACTATTAAATTTCACTATTAAAACAAAAATAATCTCAAGTTCTGTGTTGGCGAAAGGCATTTATTCATTGTGTCCAGTCTCTCACATAAATTCCCCAAAGTATAATATTAATGATAATTAACAAAAGACCAAATTTACATGCTTAAAACAGTGACCATCTTATTACATCTCCTGATTCTGTGGGCAGGGCTCAGCCACATGATCTTTCCATTCTATGTAGTGTCAGCTGAAGACACTTGGTGGCATTCAGCCAGCAGCTGGCCTGGAGAACCCAAAACTACTTCACTCAAATGTCTGGGGAGGTGCGTCTGGAGTGGGACTCAGCAGGGCGCCTCTCCTCCTCTGTGGGGCCTTCTGGTCTCTGCAGCAGAGTAGCGAGACTCTTCAACATAACAGTTCAGGGGCCTGCTTGCGCATTCCAAAAGAGGAAGTCGAATGTGCCAGTCAAGCCTGGCTCTGGACACTGGCACGGACCTGCCTTTTTATCCTACTGTTCAAAGCAGACAGGTCTGCCCAGATTCATGGGCAATGGTGTGGAGTCCTCCTCTTGGTGGGAGGTATGTCATTGAATGTGCAGCAATCTTTCCTCTGCCACAACACACTACCATTTCACAAAAGAAATTACAGCACAGAGCAATCTCGTTCAATAAAACCCAAGCAGGAAGGTGATGAAACATAGATGAGTGTCTTTCCCACATTTGTTCCATTAACAGAATAGGTTTTGAGAATGAAGTGAACATGAACACATTCTGTAAAAGACATAAACCTTCGAGTTCCAAGGCAGTTGAACATCTGATGAAAAGGGTTACCACAGTCAAGAGTTTTACACAACACAAGACTGCCAAGAGTTTCTTATATTTTCACATTATGAATTTTCAGATGATGGGTCAGGTGAGAATGCTGTCTAAAGGCCTTCTTACACTCCTTACATTCGTACGGTTTCTCACCAGAATGGATTCTGAGATGTTGAATAAGGGAGGAATTAAGTCTGAAGGCCTTCCTACATTCTTTACACTCAAAGGGTTTCTCCCCAGTGTGAATGCTTTGATGGAGAGTAAGCTTCTGGCGCAATCGAAAGGCCTTTCCACACTCCTTACATTTATAAGGCTTCTCACCAATGTGAATGCTCTGGTGCTGGGTGAGCTGCGAGAGCAGTCTAAAGGCCTTTCCACACTCCTTGCAGTCATAGGGCTTAACGCCAATGTGAATGCTCTGATGGGAAATCAGCTGCGAGTAGCGGCTGAAGGCTTTCCAGCACTCCTTACACTCATAGGGCTTCTCGCCAGTGTGGATTCTGTGGTGGAGAATAAGATGGTAACCACGACTGAAGGTCTTTCCACACTCCTTACACTCGTAGGGCTTCTCGCCAGTGTGGATCCTCTGGTGGAGGGTTAGCTGCTGGCGGACTCTGAAGGCTTTCCCGCACTCCTTACACTCGTAGGGCTTCTCGCCCGTGTGAAGTTTGTGATGGACTCGAAGGCCAGAGCCACACAGAAAGTCCTGCCCACATTCTTTACACTCATACAGTCTGTTGGCAATATTA